CTCTTTCCTTAAGACTTAATCTCTCTCTACTCAATCATAAAAACTTAACCGCGACTATGCGTTATTTTCTGTTTTAATCTAAAGTTTCATTGTAACGCAATAAAATCGAATGATAAAGAATAATTATGATATCTGAAAAAAAAAAAAGAAACAATTTTTGATTAGATATCTCATTTGATGTTGCAGGCGAATTAAAACGCATATGAGATTAAATAGCTAAAGAAAAAAAAAATGAACTAAACATAAACAACATATCGCCAGACGGATCCGAGATTTTTAGCAAATTAATGCTGGATCCGTTATCAGCCGAAATTGGCCCTATTTCCCATCGAAATAGGGTGTAATTTCAAAATCAAATGCAGCGTAACTCGACGTATCATTCCACTTTTGCTCCCGTGTTAGCGATGTTACTCCCCGGCGGGTTGTTCCCTTTTCGGCCGGGAGCATTTGGACGCGATGGATGTGGCCACCTTGATTGTATTGGATAAGTTTTATTTTATGGTAACAGGCCGCACTGATGTATTTTTTGCGCCATACACGCAAAGGAGAACTTTAGTGCTACGAGCGGTAAGAAGGCGTTATTGGGAATCGGTGTGGCATAAAATATTTGAATTGATTTGAATAAAACGCTTTTACATGATTACTTTATAGATTATTGCAGTCTTTGGCAAACTTTTACTATACATCATTACACTTTGTGCCAAGTAGTCCTAAATAGTGTTAAATAATCAATTGCAAAAATATTACTTAGATGAAAAAGGTTTGTACTGAACAGTAATTATTTGTCTCTATGTTTTTAACCGGTAAAACTAACACCATACAACATTTGTCGCAAACTGTCTTGACACAAGTGTAATGGGGAATATCTAGTGCAATTATCAACAGATTCACATACTGCATACATTAGCAGTATGTGAATCTATTGATAACACGATACGTTAATCCTGTATACTCATAATATTTGGGGATACAACCCCGTAGTAGTCTTCAACCTCCCCAATAGCCATCCCGGGCCTCGCTTTATAAATATTTAGTCTGAAAACTGTTTCTAGTCTGATTGCGCCTGTCCGCAGACAGCCCAGGATTTATGTTGAGATCTGAGAGGGCACCTCGATTACTGTTACTGAATCTTATCTGATTACCACCGTCCTTGACGGTCCGAGCGCCTCCGTTACTGAATACATTGACTGATACATCTAATGAGAGATACACGGATATGCAATATTACCAAACTGACTCACCGACACAGCCTCGGCACCACACTGATCGCTCTGACAACGCACCGACGAAGAAGGCTGATTTGTCGTCCCATCACCCTTATATTCCACCTATATGGGATATATATAGACCCACTCTTGCTACATATAGACCCTCATTATGGGAATTAATTATCTCGTAGAATATTCAAGTACCCTTTTCGTGTATACAAATTAATAACTGCTTCGCATTCGCTACACCACTACATCATATCTATATTCGTAGTATAACATGTGGGTAAACTTTTTAAGAGTTTCAAAAGTTAAGTGAACAATGTTGCACATTGCAACAGAATAAATCGACACAAACCGACTGTTAGATTCTATTGTACGATAAACAAACTTCCACCGGTTTGTTTTCCTCGGCGGAGACGTTCGCTTAAACGTAAGACGGATCGCTAAGTAGGACCAATGAAACGACTTTCTCCAACGTCTACCAATACATTAGCGGCATTCATTCGGGAAATAAATGATTCCACTTAACAGCGCTCAATGTAGCGCGAACGAAAAATCACATTGTAATCTCACCTCGCCGAAAGGAATGGATATTAATATTATTCCCTTTGAGAGTCCCTAATTTGCGATTTTCATAATTGAATGTTATCAAAATGAATGTCCGTCGAGTTTTCCACCTTAAAAAAAATTTACGCTCTAGACGGGGAAACGACTCTTTTTCCGTTTAAATTGCTTGTTTTGTCCGCGAACCGCAGACGAAAATCGTCCTAACACGCTTGTCTTAAGACTCGGAATGCGTTGCAAAACGGAGATTTTTTTAATGTGATTGTCTCCTAAAGAAGCGTTTTTTATTATCCTTCATTATTTTTCGCGTGACGCTCGTGCCAAGTGCTAGCGAGGGTACGGAGGGCGATGTAATAAATTGTTGAATACTATTTAGTTAGCGATTTCAAAGCTGACCTTTTCGGATTTAGAGAGAATATATTTAAAGGAGCGAATTGTTCAGAGAACTACTCTGAACACACTTTGTGAGCTTTTTATATTTTATTTCACTCCCCGTGATGAATGGATTCCTTAAATTATATAATACAAACTCTTTCAACTATTCCCCAGGACAACATTGTCCTATGTTGCAGACGCGTTAAACGATAACGTAAACTTTACATTGTGGTAAGGCAACATCAGAAGCTGCCACACAGCAGCTTCTGATGAGCTAACGAATGGGCAGGTTCATCCGGGGAAGTACCACAGTCTCACAGGAGATCAGCACACACATATTTAATTGGTTTTGTTTTCAAAGGTGTTCTAAAATTACCACTTTATTTCGTTATAAATGACAAACCAAGACGTAAACCATTCAACAAAAGTGTCGATAAAAACGATTAAAGCCAAAATAGATATTATCTGTGGCGACTCTTTATAATGGACAAGCCAAATATCACTGGCCGGTAAAATAAATATTCAAAGCCATCGCTTTTAAAAAGCATACATCCATTAACTCGCCAGATTAAAAGTTCTTTTTTTAAATTCTTTAAATGGCCACCGACGATATCTCTCATCAGAGAAAACGCATTACGCTTACAGAATTACAAATGTGAAAGCAAAAACGACCACTTAATAACCATAAGCAAGCCGTCAACGTAACCCTTTGTCTGTGCCCTAAATCACAAAAGACCTTATCTTATACAAAACCTATTGTCCTGCACACCACACAGGTTTATTCTCGATAAATTCTAAAGCAACCATAAGCGATTACGAGGTTTATGTCCAGTAAATAAGAGTGAATATCGAATATTTCGTAACGGATCATTACCGCCAATCTTCAATTACAGACGCCATATTGTCGTCTTGAATATTTTGTCAATTTTTTTAACGTTCAAAAACAGAATGGAAGCAAGGCGATTCGAGTTCGTTGACTCCGAGTCAACATACATGATGTAAAATCTATAAGCGGTTTATTTCTTCCTTTGACATATTTTGTACTTGGACGAGGTAGTACTTAGAACGATCGTGAAACATTACGCCATCTAAATTCAGACCATTGAAAATAAGCTTTTCATGCAAATAAAAGATATTTTAATCTCGAATTTATAAACATAAATATATTGAGAAGACAACAAACCAAGACAACGTACATTTGAGTTAGGAAGGTTTTAAAGTTAGGGATCGATGGTGAAAATGGGCATTACAGTCTTACCTGATAATTATAATTCTAACACTAAAATAGGTACATATATATGTTTATATCTCGTCACAGTTAATAACAACACAATTGTAATATAATAAATATAAATAACTTGACTGTGATGAAGCAGTAAAAATTCAAAGAATTTGTAAATATGATAAAAAAGAGGGTGTTTTAACCGGATCGTGTTGTCTGCGTATGACTAAATTACTGGGGAACTGACTAAATTACTGGGGTAAATTAAATTACGGGAACTTGAAATGGATAACATTTTTACTTGCCAGATATATGGGAGAGAATAAAAGTACTAAAGCACTAATCTTGCTGAGATCACAAAAGTTTCCGTGATCCACACTAAACGGCAAAAGCAATTCAAAGTGCGGTACAATGCCGAACATTAAATTAACGTGAGGGAATAAAACTGAGCGCGCGGCTTAGGGAAAGCCCTTTTATTTATCGCAATGCAACCCCCGTATTTCATATTGAAGTCTCACGGGCGTCTGCCAAACGGTAAGGGTATGCCGATATATTTTTCATACGCACCATAAAGTGGCCATTGCCAGTACCAAATATAGATGTTACAGAAGATTTTTAAGGTCAGGCGATACACAATCTACAAAACGCAACCATTGAGTGTTTCACTCGTCGAGCCCTGCAACAGAAAGTGAACGAGCTTACAATGGATTGTTAATCAACGTTTGTCTTCGAAAAGCCTTGCGCTACTAGTGTTTATACCCTTAATAGGAATGGTGGCTGCATTGATTATGATAGATTATGATCGAAGACTGCTGTGAAAATTCTTATTGAATATGTTACTCGCTAAACAAGAAATTATCGTTTACAGAAGATGTCCGACCCAAAAGGAGGAGTCGAAAAAAAATTAAAGTCGATTAACCAAACAAGGAAAATACAGGCATATTTTGATAGCTAAGAAAATATTAAGGGAGGGTCACACTTAAATTTTATTGGAGGAATCCATTTAGTCTATTCTACGGGCTGAATTGGGCAAAAGAAAAATCTTATGTTTACTTGATGATGGCTCGACTGGCGTAAACACTACGGTAGGTTTATAGGCGCCGAAATTTTGAGCTTAAAGCTGGGCTTTCCTTGGCGAAAAGTATTTATACCAACGAGATATAAGTTTTACGGTTCTAAATGATATTGTATAAAAATAAGAGGACACTGGCGCACCGAGGCACTACTATTACTTCAATTGGTGTAATTATATTGCAACTCTAGGTTTCACAAGTTAAAACAGTTATTATGTCAAAAGTTATCAAAAAGAACATTTCGTAAATAGTAATTCTAGATATTTCTACGTATTCCGAGTATCAGGGACGGGCATTCCGCTACTTTGGCCGCCAGCAATGCAACAAAAACGCGTTACGACGTTTATATCTGTTCTGTCGACTTGTATGTGTGTGTATCTGAAATAAACATTTAAAATGTAAAATTATTAATGATTCATAATTAATTAAAACATTAATTAATTATAAATCATTTAATTAATTAAAGTTGTTTTTTTTTTAGTTTTACGTCAACCGCGTGTGAAGGTTACACGCACTCGTTTATCCCGTACTCGTAAGTACGGACGGCGAAGATCACACGCATATACTTCCAAACAGAGAGACAGACGGACACACGGAGAAAGACGAGCGCTTAGGACTCCGTAATGATCGCGGCGAGGCGAACTGTTCGTGAAGCAGCACCGCTTCCAACTCTGCTAATGAACCGTCGCTCACGGCCCCTGCATTGTTAACGACGGAACTTTGGACGCAGCCCCACATCCGGAGCTCATGGGCGATTCGGAATCGTAAATGCATTTCGCTTGTTTCGACGTGCGTTGTTTTTCTTTTTAGTTGTTTCGTCAGCGGCAGCCACACTGTCCGGACCCCCGCTTTCATTAGCGCTGTCCCCCGGTAAAATGCCGCTTCCGATTGTAACCTTTTGACTTTACGCGGACTGATAGGTTGAGAACATTCTGGGGACATCGCAGGCCCGGTGATTTTACATTCAGCGTGCTATTACGTAAACAAAACGTCGTCCTTTGCTCTGGCGAATTGTTTGTCAACATTCTTCCGTCCGAACGCCTTATATCATCAATATGATTTCATTGATTCAGTAGATTCGAAGTCATACTTGGCCATTACTTATAATTAAAATTTGTAGAAAAAAGGACGAAAAGTTTCTCATCGCTGCGGGAATCGAACCTACGTCCTTCCGGATTCGCGCCCAGACGCTTCACGGCTATAAGCGAAATGGCTGATTGCCAACGATTTTTTCCACGTTTAACCACTAAGCTGTGTGTAAACAGTGTCAACAATGTGAACCCTACTTTACAAATTATTCAAAACCCGATGAAATTTTACTAATGAAACGTAAACTCAAGAAAGATCATTATAAATAATAACATCCTTTATAAAACTAACTTTAACCTACGTTTCAGTAGCGAGAGCTCAATATATAAGTACTAAAGTACTTAATAAAATCAGTCTGCTTGGGATAATAGAGTCAAGTGTTCATTGCAATCGCAACAGAAAATAAGAAGAAAACAACACTGAAATAACAAATACAGTCTTTATGAACTATAAAAAACCTACTAACAAAGGATATAAAATTAGAAAGGAACACCATCTGCCGGTAGTCGACTATAAAACTTCACGTAAATAATACACGCGAGTTAAGGGAGAAAAGACTTTAATCCCATTACAAGACTTTTCTAAAATTATTACGTTCCTTCTACTTTAGAACTAATAGAAAAATTGGATGCCAGAGCGTCCAATTGCCAATCAAACAAAAAATACCGAATAAGCGAAAGAAATTATACCAGAGAGAATTAAGAGGGTCCAATTATGTACAGACAATTCATCAAAAACTATCGCAGTCTTCGTTGGTTTTTTCGTTCAGATCCAGAAAAGGTTGTCAACCTCTGCCATAATGAAGACAAAGGGGACCCCGTGGCACTGGCAACTGACGAAAATGATATTCGACAACTTACTAGCGGTGCCGCGTCATAATTTTTTCATATAGGAACTCGTTTGTTTAGCGGCGGCACACTGCTGGCAAATAAATAAACGCCGTCGCGGGGAATACGTGAAAGCGAAGATCCGCGTTACATTAACCAATAGGCGGCCTTTCGCACACAAGCACGCTACAATGTTACTTATTGGGAAGACACAATATTGTGTATTAAATACGACTGCAATCCACGATTTACTTCTTCCTAGCGATATCCCGTACGAGAAAACGGTGCGCGCTGTTTTGCTATCCCTCTTCCACTTTTGCCTGTCACGTTTTATCGAGCATGTTCAATACCAAACGTGACATGGTATGCGTTTTGTATAAGTCTGAATCTAAAATGTAAGAAAATCGGACAACTTCTCACTTTGCTAGTATTATTAAACAGGCATTAAGTTTATGCTGGCACAAAAATAAATTAGCATCAAAGCTATTTTGAATGTAATTTAAAAAAAAGCAACCTCTGAATATACAGTACTTTACAAACGCTGAATCCAAACAATAATGGTACATTAAATAACGAAATTCTATTTGTATTCAAGAAGTTACATCGAGATAAGGCCAAAGTTATTCGAGGGTCATCAAAGAATAAAATGTTTTCTTCGTAGGTGCCGTATTCCTCTCTACGAGAGTTTTGGAGTTATTCGCTAAGTAAAGTTACTATATACCTTATCTTATACACCTTGTCGTATTTTTGTAAACAGAAAAACATTGTTTAGACACTCGGATTATCAATTAATCGGAAAGTTAAATTAAAATAAACAGAACAGGCAAGGCTACCAATAGACCTTAATACCAGATGGGTTTTAAAATATGTAGAAAAACGGCTCGAGCCGTTTAGCTCAGTGGCTAGAGCGTCAGGCCGCGAATGCCGAAGACGTGGGTCGATTCCCACAGCGGCGACAATCTTTTCGCACTTTTTCTACATATTTTAATGTTCAATCTTAAGTGCAAAGATTAGCACTATAAACAATTTAAATTACCAGATGGGTTGTAGATGCGTTCTCAACCATTAAAAACAGTGGACCCTGCTTACCTCAATCACCAGCCAAAACGTGACAGTATAACACTTCTACTTAACGTTGGTCTTCTATTGGGCCATTGTATTTCCCTGGACGAACTTACAAGCATTCATGCATCAGCAAATTTGTTGCTTGTACCTACCACAGTGATCTTATTATATCTCCTATAGATTTTCTATTGGAAATCCTTACTAATATTATAAATGCGAAAGTTTGTATGTATGAATGGATGTTTGTTACTCTTTCACGCAAATACTACGGAATGGATTTTAATGAAACTTTACAATAATATAGTTTATACATCAGAATAAGACATAGGCTATAATTTATATACATATTTTATGTATATCTGTCTTTCGGTCTGAACATTACGCCTTCAGCATATTCTACGCAGGCGTAGTCGCGGGTAACAGCTAGTCTCATATAAAAATTAATTTTAGGCAATCGAGACGTATATAGTTAAAAACAAAATGCCGAAATCGTTGATATCTGGAGGTCAGGAATTTAAATTCTATTTAGCTGAGTTTAAACTGTGGTCTACCTTGGTTTAGCATTAAAAATGTGTGTAATGATAGTAATATGCTTTAGCTGACAAATAACTATGACAAAGATTTTCTTTATTTCATATTAGCTAACAGAAATGTAATATTATATCCAAGTGCCACGTGTACTTTATATTCAGTACTTGGGATTATTGAAGCGCAAGTACTTTAACTATTCACAAGCGAAAGAGCTATTCGTGGTCGTGACCGAAAATATTCTTTGACATCCGTACAGTGAGAAAATATATGAGCTGACCTGTTGCGGTTACGAGTTTAAGCCATGTTACGGAATAAAATTTGCAAATATTATCAAACAGTCGAATAACTGTGAATTTTGTGAAAATAAGAAGACTTACATCGTGTTCAAAAGTGTGAGTAATATTACAAATATTTTTGTTTACGAAAAAACGTTTATTGTATAGTGCTAAATAATAGCCTAATAGATAGTCATAAAAACAAAGCTATGGATAGTCTTCATTGTTATGAAATGCGTGAATTAAAACTGGCTTGTTACGTAACTTCTTGGAACAAAACGCGAGTTTTATTCAGAAGTGAGTAGTAAAAGTTCTAAAGTCTTTTATGCTAATTCAAACTGAAAGGACGCGCGACCTGCATTGCAACCAATAGCTAAATGACTGTAAGAATCCATTCCACTTTCAATTTATCACCGAGAGATGGCGTTGAATGTATGAATGAATTGAAAGTTAGATTACACAATTTAAATTCCCCCTTCATGCAAAATAGGGACGCAAAGATGAGGTCTGAGGGGGTGGTACGGAATACATTATACTAGGGAAAAGAGGGGAGAGAGGTTGAAATATTTACCTCGCGGGAGTTTGGAAGTGTGTTCGACGGAGCGGCGCAAAATCTTAATGGATTATGTTATGATTAGACCGGTTGGTTTACCTGCGTATATTTTGCACGTTTTCCACGACTCGGCCTTTTAGATGACGGGCAATTAAGGGAAGTACCAATGTGATTTCAGTGGAGTGTCCGAACCTGATGCAATTAAATTCAAACATGTTTCGATTAAGGTAATAAAGGGAGACGACTCAAGGAATGTTACATTGTAAGCGGTTAAAGACTGTTTTATTATCACCCTTAATAGAGCCGCAACTAACTTTTTACTATTACAAATACCTACTTATTTTGAAAAGTAATTGACCTTGATATAAAAGCTCTAAATAATTCTTTTCAAATTGTTGCATGAATAGACAGACTTTTTTTTTAAATAAAGTGTGATATATATATATACATATATATATATTTTAAAATTTATTATAAAAATTCTTAAATCTCGCTTTCTTCTCTAATTCAAGCAGGAGATCAGGAGAATAACCTTTAAGTGATGTGAAAAATTAGTAAAAGTTTGTCTAGAATTGCAATGTCAGCTGTCATCTTTGTATATATACATATTTTTTTGATTAAGAAAAAAAATCTTAATATGAAACGATAACTTTTTTACTGCATTAAGAACAATTCCCCCGAAAACGTCTAACACTGGCAAGTCGACTTCTAAATGTCGTAATTTTTTAATAATCAACGTGTGAACGAAGCCTAATGGCGAACAAACGCAACATTGTTTGAGCGTTCGTTAGCTTACTTCCGATAATTTCCACTGTTTTTGGGCGGTGCAATCGAACTAATCTGTTTACGTGAATTTTATAGGTTTCTGGGTCGGGTCGAATTCGGGCACAACGTTAACGGTGAGTTTTTTGTGCAAGTAATGGTTTTGTTAACGAAGCTCTGTGGGCTTCATATGTTTCCTTTTTTTTTAATAAATTTAAGTAATCAAATATCGAAGACATCCGCAATAGAACAAAGATAACCGACATAGCAGAAGATTAGTAAGCTGAAGTGGCGATGGGCCGGCCATGTAGCTCGTAGGACCTATAACCTATTGAGAAAAAAAATTCTTGAATAGCAGCCTCGAAGTCGATAGATACACGTTGCTCAGGTTTGTGCCTCGTGGCAGTCTGTGGGGGAGGCTTATGTTCAGCAGTGGACTCAAACGTGCTAATTTCAGCATTATTTTTCCAGCATCATTATTTAATGATGAAATAAAAATCGGCGTCCGCGGAAATTCATAACACCAGAGATGATGCCGGAGTTTTCGACCCACTGGGAATTAGTGATAAGTTCTTATATTAATTTACATCGGAAAATGTCAAAGGTTATTGCTACCGTTCACTGTCTCACTGTTGCTACATTAATTGAAATATTGCATTTATAAGCTTCGCAAAATTAAGTGCTCCTATTTCAAACAGGGGCCGTGAAGAGAGGATCGAAAGAAATAAAGACAGTTCACTAGCCTTTCGCCGTCGTTACAAACATGATAGGCTTTTGAGTTCATATCCGTATATTAGCTGTGTAATAATAATATGTAATAGAACCACTGAAATCTGATTCCGCAACACGTACGTAAGGAGAAGTACGGGCCTGGTCTTTACCGACATGTCCATTCACAATATCCAGAAAAGGCCTTTGGGCGTCGCACGGCAAATATAATAAAAACGAGAAGCGAGACAATGGCGGGGCTAGGCTAAACAAAAGACGTCGCTAGTTGCGCGAACTTTGCTTCCTCGCAGCTCCTTTGTGTACAATGGCGCAGAAGTATATTTGGCGAGTGTGCTCTGGTCTTAAGTGGGGTTTTAAGCTCTCGTCGTTCGCTCGGGGCCCGATTTATGGCGCGCGCCCCGCCGCTCTGTGGGGCTGCAACATTTTCACAGTCGCCGAATAGGTAACTTGATGCGTTTACGGGTGTTTCTAGTTGTGCAACCGGCCCTTTTTTAACGGAGTTTACACCTGGGTGCGGGCTTAGCGGCGGCGTTTTTGCCGGCTATAAAGGAAACGCTCACTGTTGTTAGTAACTGCTTAGGGTGCAGCGGTTTTCTTAGATTGTTCGCTTTAACATAATAGGCACCACTATTCATTACATAGTTGACGTTGGATTATCAATATGAAAGGTTGGCCCCACCTGATTTCCCTAAAAAACCCGCCAGTGCTGCCTGGCTCAAGTTGCAGGCCCATCTAAGAAGCTGATAACGCTTGTGCATCTTTCAATGATTTTTCAATATTGCAAGTATCCATTAGGGAAAGTGTTACCACTGGTGTGTGTTCATTGATCGGTTACCGCTAGTTGATCCGCTACTTAGTCTTTGTTACGTCTTCATTGAAAACAGATAAAAAAACATCTTACTTACCAAACCAAGACCTAAAATAATGGTCAAATATAATAATGACAAACTGTCTGATGAATTGCCGGTGTACAACTAAACTCATTTAAATTTCATGTGCGGGAAAAAAAGCGGTGAAACGTTGAAATTGAGTAATTAGCTTTCTGACACTACAATAAGTTTCAAGATATGTGTAAAAATCGTAAACAAAATTAATGAAGTGAAAAATGTGTCTTTATTTAACTTGAACATATCATTCATAACGCTTAAGCAGGCCGAGTGGAAATTTAAACGCACAAACAAAACAATCTATTGCGAAAGATCCTGGCGCGGCCTTAAGGGGAATTACGACCGCGCAATTCCTTACTCTCAGTTAGCGCTTGTTCACAAATTATTTTTATTTGCCCCGAGACGTGTAAAAGCTTACAGAGACGCGGCGCGGGCTATTTGTTTCAACCGGACAGTTTCGCATCGCGGTCGCTATACGCCGCCCCTGGGGATATGCAATATTACTCAGCGGGTTTACCGCTAAGCTTTTTGTTTTAAAAATGGAACGAAAAATAGAAATAGCCGTGCCAATGCTGGCGGCATCACAGAATCTTTTCTTTTTTGAATAAAGTATTGTTTTTGGAAATGTTCACGCGTACATAAATTAAACGTATTAAAATTGAAGGTGTAAATAATTGCAACATTGTAAATACTTTTTGAATAACAAAAAATTTGGGAACATTCGTTTTTTAAATGAAATTTTAATAATTACAAGTGATTTAAAAATAACGCAAAAATCAATCGAGATCAGATTAAAAACAATCGAAGTATCTGGCGTAAGAGTTCTTCGTCATAAACAGAGTCTTTGTGTCTTAGTCATTTGTTATTAGATTCTGGTAAATCCGCGTTTTCATTTGCATGTTTGCGTTTTCCCTACGGTCGGAGTGTTAATTGGCGAACGCGAATTAATACGACTTTATAGTGACTAATACACATGACTAACCGATATTAACGAATCGAAACATTTTGATCCTAGCGTACCTTCATCGAAAGGCATTTAATTTATACCGATCGCGCTTAGCAATGTTGTAAATAGACGAAGAATACATTTTTAAATTACATTTTCCTTTCAGTTGCTTCTAGAAAATAACGCGATCAATTCACGTAGCAGTCGGTACCAACCCACTCAGCGGAGCGAAATTGCAATATGGCGTTCTTGTGGATACTGGTATTTACATCCTAACGAATATTCGTATATTTAACTCCTGCGGTCGAAATTCAATATATTTAGTAAACTTTAACATTTACATCTTTATATGCTTTTGTATTTTTCTTTTCGTTATGTAGCGAAAACAAAAATATTACATACAGTCATGAAGTGACCAGCGTTCTTTAATTTTGATTTTTTATGAAAAATATTATGTGTATGCATAAGGTATTTTTTTTAACCTTAACATTAACAATTTTTGAACAGCGGATTAGAAAAGTTTTTACAATATCCTTTTAAATTTTTAAATATTAAATTTGTGATTTTTTGTTTAACAGTCTTTAGGTCTTTCATGTATCATTTTCTGATCATATTTAATATAAAAACTTTTCACATTCTCCCTTATTACTATGTGAATTCACAAAAGAATCTTCCACTTTTAAATACTCTGTCAACAATAGCTTCAGATCAGTAAGATAGTAAAGTTAATACGCACAACAAAGTTTACAGCAAATAAAATAGTAAAAAGTAGTACAGTTTCGTCCATTACATTGACGTATCCAATTACTCTTTAATTAGTACAAAGATGGATTTATTGCAGATCGATTGTTAGTGGAGATCGTTGAGCGTCGCGATTGGATACGGTCCGAGAAAATAAAAGAAGCACTCACCTGAACTCCTCGCCTCCGCATGTAGCCTCGTGTCAACAAAACTCGCCACTAGTAACAAGAACATAAGGGTCTTAATCCTACTACAGCACCAACTCCCCCTCCCGTACCTTCTCTCACATCTTTCTCTATCACCATAATCACTAAGAGTTGTTTCGTCAGAACTTACTTTATCGTCTAAGCGGTACACTCTATTATTGCTAGCATCTCCATCATCGTAAGTAGCTTGATCACATTCCTCTTTGTATCTATCTTCTATGGTGCCCCCTCTATCCTCTAAAAGGGATTTGAGATCTAAGAGACTTTTCCTTTTATGCAGGATTTTCTTCTCTATTGGTTCTGAGGTTATCTGGTGTTGCAGCCCCATGATTGCTGGTTGGTGATTCGGTTGGGTGTTAGATGTAATCTTCATTGGTGATGCCCCGATCAAATCGCCGAATCATCTTGTTTTAACATCTGTAAATAAAAAAGAAATAGGTTAATGTCCTACTTCTTCACTGAAATCATAAGCCATATTGATGACTACTAACATTCTAAACTACAACAACAAACTATAACGACTAAAAAGTTTATGATTATCAAACACAATCAAATTGACATTATGTAAGTCTCCACCATTCTGTTATGATCTAAGATAACATTAAAAAACAGAAGAACAATAATACGACTCGATACCGAAGACCTCAAAACATTAACAATTCTCACACATCATCGTACCACAGCAAGAGATGATAATACGATAACAGAAATTATGAACTTAAGAACATAAATTTAAGTATTTAGAATTGGCGCTGAAACAAGTGCAGAACACCACACAATGTAACGGACAATTCATCAAGAGACGTGACAGTATATGTTATCGTGGGATGTTAGCGGACGCGGGGGAGTGTGGGAACGTCGGGGGAGGGGCGAAGGAGGGGGGAGGACTTGCATCGAAGACACCTGCGTCCCACTGACGGAGATAAAAGAGGCAAGCAAGATGAACTTGTTTTAAAGCCGCAATAACGATCAGGTCTAGACTTGTACTAATGAGTTTTTGTTAAGCGCGTCGTTATTATTGATCGATCGCCCTGTCTAAGCTGTTATGTAGGGACGGTTGGTATAATTAAACGCCGCATACTCATTATCAATTGAGACATTTGCGATTATCTAGAAGCAACTGCGAGAAAGCTTTTCTGTCCTTAACGATTTTCGAGTTACCGCAGAAGTGCATTGTGGATCTACTTTTTTATTTTTGTTTACAATCCAGTTGATGAATGACTAGCTATCCCTTCAAGGTACGCACCAATATTTAATCTAACTGTTCAGTACCCTTGAAGAAATGAACATTATCCACTAGCAAAAATATGATGACCCTTGCCTCGAGGACAGATTTCGTTCGGACAGGAAAACACTGACAAATTGTGACATAAGATGCAATACAAATGAGGCAAACTTCTTCGTCCGTAATGTTGAAAGCCGACAAAAAAAAGGGATGGAGATATTATGCTGCTGAGCGTATTATTTAAATTAAGAATAATTAAAAATCAATTCGATTGTCGCCTTAAAACACCTAACCACAGATTATGTTCTATTATTAAAAAAACCACAGCATCTAGAGTACAGAACAGCGTTCGAAAATAAAGAAATCCATCACACAAACAGTTCCGCTTCGCAACCGATAGGAAAGCGCGCGCTGCAATTTTTTACAAGCGCAGCGGCCAATGGGGAGTGCGCCCGAATTGCTAGTCCGGCCTTCGGAGACCAGGTGCGATAGTCCAGCGCTCAAAACTGTCTCATTAATCTTCCCGGGAACCGTTCTTACCCGTGCATTAGCCGGCTGCGCTCCGAATGGGAAAGCAGAATTCTTATATCCGCCCGTATTTAATTTTTACACGCCGCAGAGTAATACATTTTGCAGCATTGCTCATCTGTTACGGTCCGTAAATTCGCCGGAAGGAGTTATGTTTTGTCTGTGGCACGCGCTCCTACGTCGTTCGCAATATTTCGATTGAGGCGAATCGTCGATGTTATGCGTCAACAAAAGGATAACACATAGAGCTGAAATAAAATAACGAAACATTTTTCATTGCAATGTTCCGATAGCTTTAGAAGATATAAAACTAAGGTGATATTAGTCTTGAGATCTTGCTTACGTAAGCTATCTAAGCTCTCGTCGGTCTCAATCAATAACGCGTAAGGAAACACGATGAAAGTTAATTTTGAAGATAAAATAAACCGCTATATTTTTTGCATTTTTTTAATAACCTTGCCCTTACTTAAGGAAAGCCTTATCCTGGGCTGTAATGACGTTTTACAAACATAAATTTTACGTGGACAAACACCCAGATGCGAAACTACTATCTGTGGGTAACACATAGTTATTTCGTGTGTGGATCGAACCCACGACCCACGCGCCGAAGCCAATAACTTTGGCAACTGCGCCACGGAGTCATCATTACGTATAGGTATGTGCTTCGGTTTATTGTGTGTAGATAAAAAAAGAAAGATAATTTTTCATCTTACACTTTACTAGTCGCGTCAACCGTTATAAACTTATAAACCATTTATTAATATTCTTCTTTTCTTCTTATTTTATTAACTTAATCTGAACAGCAGTCTCTTATATAATGGAGTGTTAAATAACTCCATTACATAACAGACTACCGGGAGAACCCGGTAGTCTGTTATGTAATGGAGTTTATTATAGTTTATGTAAGGAGAATCCTTTGTTCCAAAAATGTTATCGGTATACACACAGGATCGTAGCTCAGCATTGCTGCAGACGCGTAGTATTATAGTGCAGTGCAGGCAAAGGTTTAACGTAGGCATTAGCCGTAGATTCGATTTCCCGCCAAATAAATACTTTTTTTGCTTGCGCGACTGCAATTTTTTTTTACGTACATCGTGCTCGTTCTCCGTCACCGTTGTTATTCTAAATTTGAACGTCATTATGGGAGAAAGAAAAACCTCATTTAGCGAATTAACTTATCTCCACGGCGCGTTAAACAAATAGAAGGGTTAACGGCCCCGTTACTGTGACGTTATCGAAAATAGCCGACGACTTATTCCCGCTACGGACGGGCTAACGGGGGTCTGGAACAAAAGACTGTGCACTCGCGAAGGTCGTGACCACGTCTCGACAATATTTTCGCGGGCTAACGACTGTTGAGAGGTTCCCTCGCCTTGTCACGCCGATACGGGTCCGGAGGGTCGTAACTGAAAATTGTTTCCAACCCCCCCCCCCCCCCCCCCCCTCCCTCACCACTGACGAGGGGCATCGGTAACTTCAGGTGCCCAAACTCGCTCCCTGAGAGCCTCCGCAGGTGCCGTGAGTTATCGCGCCCCCGTTGCAGTTTTATTGGCCGTGAAGATATAGTTATGGATTCGTACCCGAGGCCGGGACTTAGGCGGGCGAAGACGCGCTCCCTTAATATGTTTTCGCGTGAATTCGTAACGAACTTTAATACTTTTCCGCTGTGCGTAATATTATTTTGATGTGCGAGTGAACTAGGGAAGACATAGTTTTGTAGGAGAAATGGTCAGGCACAACACTAGGGAGTAGTGTTTTACCAAACCATATGTCCTTTTCACCATTGTCCATCATTTATCTTAAAACAGGATTATTGAACCCTTCCTGGGATTTTTTTTAAAAGAATTTCAAGTTGAATAAAATTTTATAAGTATATCGCAATTGTAACGATAACATCATATCTCAATTAAGTTCCTATTATTAAAAAAAGTAAATAAATTAATGGTAAAGCGAATAAAATTCTTAACTAATTCAGATTCCTAATTAAAACAATGTTTAAGTAACGAAAGAGAATATAACCAAATAAATTATATTCAATTTATTTACAGTATTCGATATAAAAGAAATTAATCGAAAGTAATCAACTAAGTATGGCCACAATACCGTGCTTGTGTGTTTTCCTTCTCGAAAACTTATTGTGAAAGTTTTAAGGAACTGAACTTATAACGAGAAATGTTATAATTACTTTTGTATTTATCCAATCATTTTGTAAAACATTGTTTCGGGCAAAAATTTATTTACATTATTATTGTAACAGTTGTTTTTTTATTTTTATTTTAATGTTTGCTTTCGTAAATTTTATTATAAGAAACGCAATGTATTTATTTGTGGAGCCTATTTCAAATTAAAATTTTGTTGTGTCATCACTACATAGTTTAAAACAAAGCCGTCCCGCTGTCTGAATACAATAAATGAACACACATATAGGGGATAACTTTTTAAAGTTGTATTAAACATTTAAATTCTTTAAACATCAATATTTACAGAGTTATTAAATTTTCCAAAACAAAGAATTTTAGAACACCCTTACCTATAAAAGCGTAACGTAAAGTTCATTTGTAAAGGTCACAAAGCATATGAATGGGTTGAATGAATTTAAAAGAGACAAAACATACTGTTAGAAGGAGAGGCTTGTAATGCGACGCTGTGGCGCGAGTTGTATAGGATGTTAAAAATTTTGTTTCTTTTTTACTTAATTAGTTTGTTAGAAAAATATTTTTTTTTAATTATGGATTTTGTTTAACGTTAATACTTTTTTATGATTATTGGAAAGTAGCGTTAGACGTGTCTTCATTAGCGTGTCACGATGCTACCGACACGCTGTATATGCTTAGATCTTTAAAACTATGCAACGGATTTTGATGCGGTTTTCTTTAATAGATAGATTGATTCAGGAGGGGGGCAGGATAAAGGAGAGAAACACTGAAAATTTAAGAGGTTTCTAATGCGATGTCAAAAAAAACCATTCAGCTTTGCACCCGTGCGAAGCCGGGGCGGGTCGTAAGTTTTTATATAACAAAATCTGCTTTCTACCATAAATGTTAGCTTGTATCAGCCTGCTAAGACTTAACATGATAACAGAACAAATAGACGAAGATGAAAAAAGGTTTAATTGCCTATGATATCATTGGGTTTGGTTTTAAAAATTTATCACTTATGCGTGTAAGTCATTATAGTTCAACTAGCTGCTGCCCGCGACTACGCGTAGAATAGACTGAAGGCGTAACATTCAGACATAAAGACTTAAAACATGTATATAAATTATACCCTATGTCTTATCATGATGTATAAGCTATATTATTGTAAAATTCATTAAAATCCAGTATTTGCGTGAAAGAGTAACAAACATCCATCCATACATACATACAAACTTTCGCGTTTATAATATTAATAAGGAAGTCAGGATGTCAGGGCAGTCCCTTATAATTCAATATCCTGGATTATATCCCGATGCCAGTACCCATGAAATAGTCGATCGCAAGTTTAAGTTCAGACTTATCACTCAAAGGTGAAGCAATCGTGACAAAACATGCATATTTTCCATATAATTAAAATATATATATTTCGAGGATGTATGAACTCCGCCAATCCGCGTGCAAGGTTGACTATGCCTTGATATC